GATCTGTCTCTGTGGCACTGAGTCATTGAGAGCCCAGAACAATCCCCAGCCCCCAAAAAGAAGAAAAAAGTCATCAAGATTAGAAAGAAGTGGGAGGGAAGAGAACGGCAATGAGCTGATGAGGGGGAGGCAATGGTGCTGACATCCTCACGGAACGAGGGGGAGGCAAGTGACTGCATCGGCTGCAAAAGCTCCCACTAGCTTCTCAGTTTGTCAGTGAATTTTAATATATTTCATCAATGAAAAGGAGTTGTTCCTTCTTCACAGCCCTGTGGCTCAGTCACTCATCAGTGAAAATGATGTTGCTCCACAGCAGTGTCTGCCTACCGTACATGAATGAGGACCCGGGATCAATCTCCAGCACTGGAAGAAAAAGAGAGCTGCTGTTTCTCAGGAATCTGTGTTTCCACGGCCTAGGATGACATCTGTTGCCTGGTGCTGCGCATAGACACTAAATATGTGTTGAATGAGTTTATTTATTTTGTATACTTTAAAAAAATTATTTATTTTATGTGTGTACTGGTGTTTTGCCTGCATGTATGTCTGGGTGAGGATGCCAGATCCCCTGGAACTGTAGTTACAGACAGTTGTGAGCTGCCATGTGGGTGCTGGGAATGGAACCAGAGTCCTCCGGAAGAGCCGCCATTTCTCTTAACCACTGAGCCATCTCTCCAGCCCGTGTTGAATGAATTTATAATCACACACACACACACACACACACACACACACACACACACACACACACACAAGTTTAAAAAATACGTGCTGCCAATACTCAGGACTAGGTTAAGTTATAGTGTGCCTCTTTAATGGATTACTATACAACCACTAAAATTACGCTTCTGAGGACTATTAACATACGATGTGGGTTTTTAAAAAGCAGAATAGAGCATTGTAAGTACATCACAATTATACCTATGCACAAATACCTGGGTAACAAAGATGGGGGGTCCAATACTGATAACAGCTCTGGAGATCAAGGGTCACAGATGGCTCTCATTTTACCCCAGTCCTTAAGACGTTCTACACATTCACTGTGAGGAAAATAGAGACGATCAAAAGTTTAATAGGAAAAAAAGAATCAGAGCCAGGTGTGGTAAATGCATGTTTGTAATTCTGACAGGAAGGAGGATCAGGAATTCAAGGTTATCCTTAGCTACATAGTAAGTTCCAGGCCAGCCTGGGCTACTTGATACCTTGTTAAAAGAAAGGGAAGGGAGGAATTAATTAATCAAGAAGGCAAACAGAGATTCTATCATCTTATCACAGAGAGAACTGTTGCCAATATTGAAGTCCACTCTGTGTTTCTCCCCCACCTCCCCACTCTGTGTATCTGTCAGAGAGAGAGAGAGAGAGAGAGAGAGAGAGAGAGAGAGAGAGAGAGAGATCTTCTCACATGGCCAAGGCTGCCTTCATCTTGAAATCCTCATCTTTTGGAATCCATAGACTTCAGAAAGTTAAATAGTCACAATATTGGCATGCCAGGCTTATGTTTCCTACACTAACTGTTGATACTGTGGGTTTGCAACACTTGCTAAAACAATCAACAAAACTAAGAACAAAATAAATGATAGAAGCCATATCCTGACTCAAGTCCAGAGCGCCTCCTGCAAAAGTCAGGATGGAGAGGAAGTCAGCTATGGAGCTGGGGTGGGCGTGGGTTCTGTCAGGTGTAGACTGTGGCATTTTTCTGCTCCTGTAGTCATGGCAGTCCCTCTGTACAGCGAGGGACATCACCTGCCAATGTTTCCACCAAGGATAGGGAAGTTCCGTTGGAAGACCTCGATAGAGACCGTGCGTGGGTAGCCTTCCCCTTCTCTGCACGTTACCCAACCAAACAACAACAAAAACACATTGGGGTCTTTGTCTTGCTCGGGTTTTTGAGTCATTGCCTCTGAGGGTAAAGAGGCCTACAAGGTCAGTTCTCCCCACCCCCCTACGAAACTCTCAGTCCTAGATCTGGGGTAGTGAACGGATGTGGGGATGTTCAGAGGCAGGGACTTGCGGGGGAACACCGACAGGCAGGGGCGGTCTAGTCCCGGGCAGGCTTCCCAGGGGTGGGCTTGGAGGGGAACGGGGCTGAGAAGACCGAGAGCAGACTGGAGGAAAGAGTGGAGGAACACTGGGGTGATATTTACGTAGGTATGGTCCATCCTGGAAGAGGTAACGAGGAAAGAAAGAAGCCAACAGAGAGCAGGCGCTGACCTACGAAGCCTGTGACGAAGGCTCTGCGAGCCTGGGAGGCGTGGGCTGGTGACAGGAGGAGCAAGCGTGTCTTCAGTGTGTTCAGGCTAAAACATAAGAACCGTGAAGGGCTAATGAGAATCATGAAGAGCGGCAGACAGGGGCGCGCGGAGGCGGGGCCTGGGTGAGGGGCAGAGTGGGGCAAGCGGCGGGGGTGGGCTGGGAGATGGGAAAACATTGGGGCGCTCACCTCCGGCCCGCACTTCACAGTGTGTGCCCATTTCAGCCCCTCTGATAGTCTGATTTCGGGGGGGGG